GGGGGCAGGGGGCTGAGACCAACCCATTCAAAGGTTGTGGTCTCAGAGCACCCTGAGGTGGCTGCGAGGGTTCCCGTTTGCTGGTATCCCACGGGGAGGTGACATGGTCCCTGGAGATCCCCAAGGAAGTGACACCAGCCCCAGCATCCCCCACCAGAGGCTCTTACCCCACTGTCCCGCACGTCCCCTGTCACCAGAGGCTGCAGCGGCGAGCTGGGCGAGGAAGCAGAGGAGAAGGCAGGTTCCAGGGGAAAGCGGCCGTCCCATGCTGCCCACCCCGGCTCCCTCCTGGAATGCTGCCTTGGTCCAGGGCGAGGGCACCGCCCTTTATGGCTCTTCCCTGTCTCGTGAGACGATGGGCTGATAACATTCACGGACTATCTCCCAACCCTCAGGGCCCTCCCAATGCCCTCGCCCCTCCCTGAGGCCATCCCTGCCCCCCAGCAGCAAGGCAGGACCTCCAGCCTGTCCCTGAGGACCAGGGCACCTCTGGGCCCCAGCTCCCATGGGGGTGGATGCCTGCGGGACCCCGGGGAGCAGGAGGGAGAGTGCAGGGCAAAGGGCTGTTTTTGCAGACAGGCTGAGCTGGGCCAGGCTGGATTTGCCTGGCTTCCCCTGAGACAAACCTGAGGAGGGGGACACCAGGCTGAGGGGTAGGGGATGGACATCTTGGCTTTGGTGTCAGTATCCTCTGGTCCCCTCTCCCAGCAGTCACACACTGCCCATCAGCTCCTGGGACACCTGGTACCTGACATACTGCCCTGGGGCAGCCCATGCCAGCACACCTGCACAGCGGGTACCTGCTGTGCGCAGGGAACGGCCCCATGTCACCAGCACCAGGTGACATCTGTCCGTGATTGTACCAGGCCATCTGGAAGTGCAGGAGCACAAGTCCTGGGGACTACAGGTGTCCTTGATGGCTTCACCAGCTCCTAGGAAGTGTGCTGTACCCAGCCCCGATCCCCCATCCTGATCCAGGCAGTCGGGGTTTGGCCAGTTCCTGGCTCCTGCAGAGGGCTGATGTGCTGGTGCCAGGGCCATGGCTGTCACCACTGATGGGCAGAGTGATGCAGGGCTCCCTCCCTGCCTGGCACAATGGATTCATTCCTTCTTGCCAGACATCAATCCCTGCACCAGCCACTGCTTGTGATGCCATGGAGGCTGACAGAGCAGCCCACTGCACCAACACATCCTCACAGTGTGGGCGGGGGACATGGGGACAGAGAGCAGGCAGAGGTGGCTGGAGATGGCAGAGGTCAGTTGGTCAGTGAGGTGCTGGATCCAAGGACATGGTGCCATAGGGTCCCTCAGCAGAGTTAGGAAGAAGGCCAAGGTGTGAGGGACTGGATCAGACACACAGGGACTCCTGGTGGAGTCAGAGGGACTGAGGGAGTACCTGCTGGATCAGGAGCTGCCCTGATCTCACATCTTCTGGCCAAGCATATCTGAGGCTGGAACAGGCAGGGTAAGGCAGGGGGCTCCCCAGAGAGGAGTTACTGCTGGGATCCCCCAGCTGGGGGAACACGGAGGGCACAAAATAAAACCTGCACAAGCTCCACACACAGCTGCTGACCCGGCTTTTATTACATGACACAACCCTGCAAGAAACCCTCCTGCATGGCCCCCTGCATCCCACTGCATCCACATCCCACCTGGGATGCTGGAGCCAGCCCCTCTCTGCTCCTGGGGAACACATATCCCCTCTCAGCCCTCACCACGGGCACTGAAGCTGGAGATGGACACCACTGCCTTATAAACAAACATTAAGAAAGCATCATGCTAAAAATACCCGAGAGTAGATATGTTCTGCCTGAGGCAGGCTCAAGCCCTGAGCCCTGCTCCCAGGTGGAGTTAAAATCCAAACCAGAAATAAAACCACAATGGTTTTAAAACTCAAAACCCCAAAGTCCTTGTGGGTCCCTTCTGTCTCCAGCAGGTGCCGGAGCGGGGCCTGGGAGGTGAGGGAGCAGCAGCAGGGAGCCCACAGAGCCAGGGCGCTCACTTGTCCAAGCTTGGCCTCTTGAGCAGGGCACTGTACTTGAGGGGGCCACCATCCGCCGTCAGCACCACCTCCACCAGCGTGAAAATGGTGATCACCTTCATCAAGGGAGAGGAAGAGAGAAAAGAGGGTTTTCAGGCAGTTTGGAATCACACCAAGATTTGCTTAGAGCTGTGCTGGCTTTTGCTGTCTCCATCAGTGTACCTGTGAGGAACCAAGGAATGGTGCAGGATGGATTCAGATAGCTCTGCTGGGGTCCAGGGTGCTCCTGGGGCCAGAGGTAGCATCCTCAAGGGCAAAACATGGGTTCTGACATCAGCCAGGGCACTCAAACCAACCTGAATGAGCCTCCCAAAACATCCTCACTTATCCCAGCCTGATCACGCCCCACTCTTGCTCTCCACACAGTCTGGGAAGAACTGTGGGCATTTGTGCCCTTGGCTTTGGGTCCCAACCTCCCCTCAAGGCCACCTGTGCCTTCCCTCTCCAGCCGCAGAACCACGTCATCCCTCAGTGGAGCTTGGCCAAGAGCCAACGTTGAGCTGCAGCGAGAAGGGTTTTCCACATGACGTTGAGCATTTAATCAGCATCCCACAAGGAGGGAACAATCTGCCTGTGCTGCCACAGTGAGAGGACACCCAGGAAGGGAGCACAGCAGATAAGAGAGATGCAAGGGAACAAAGACCTCAGAAAATCAATCCCTCCTCTTCAGGAACTGCACTGCTGCTGCCACCTCCCTGTTCCTCTGACCCCAGCTCTTCCTGTGATTGTATGGATTAGAAGTGTAAAGTATTGATTTGGTTTGTCCTTGAGGCACAGTTAAGGGGCTGGCTGGGACATTGGGAAGGGCTGTCCTGGGGTCATGCACAGGCATTTGGGGACATTGCTGGAGCCTGTCCCCAAGCCCTATGCTGTAGCAGGGCTCGCTGGGGCCATCTGCTCAGGGCTGGCCCCAAGAGAAGCAGGCACAGAGCTATCAGCATAACCTTGTCCAACCCTTCCCAGCTCATCCAGCACCGGCTGCTCCAGATTAATCATTCAGAATGGCAAAATCTCATTGAGACTTAAATGTACCAAAGTGGCCAGAAAGGAGCAACCTGCAGGAAAATCCTATCACAGCTGGCTGCCAGAGAGCTGTGGGCTACTGAGCACTAGCCCCTGCCTGCCAGCTGACTGCAGTGCAGGGGGTGGTGCTCATGGAGAAGCCCCCCACACACAGAGGAGTCAAAGGGGGAGTATCAAGATACTCCCTTGCAATCCTGCCTTATCCCTTTGCTGAACTGCCATGAAACAGCACAATTTCACATCAAATACCCTGAGTCTTAGATCCACTTCTTACTCCACCTCTGAGTAATGTCCACTGAGGCCTTGGTCATCTCCTGAAGATCAGCAAGAAATGAGGGCAACATCTCTCCTCTGTGGCAGGGCCTGGCACAGCTCCTCTCTGACAGCCTTCCCTCATGCTCCCACTGCCTGGCCATGCTCAGCTACACCAGGAAGCAGAGGCCAAGTGCTGGGGCCAGGTAGGGAGCTGGGGTGCTGGGTGCTGTGAGGTGTCCAGGTGACATCTACCAGAGTTCAGCATGGCTCACAGGAATCTGGCTCATCCCAAGGCTGGAGATTTATAAACTCAGGGATCTACTGGCTCGGAGGATAGCTCAGAGCCTGATCCCATGGGAGACCTCCAGTGTTTTCTTAGGAGGTGTGGAAGGTTTGTGGAGGAGTTTCCTCTACCAACTGTTTGCTTAACCAAAATGGGCCCTGCTCATGCTGTGGCATCATTTTTCATCAGCTCCCTGCTAGAGTGTAAGTGATCCCTGTTCCTATAGGAAAGGGGGAACTGAGGCCACTCCATGCTGCATCCACTGGGCTTCTCTGAGCCAAGCTGAGAGAGGAAAGCTCAGCTTCAAAGGGAGGGAGGTCTGCAGAAATATTTGCAGGGCCAGAGCCAACTCAGATCACAACATCCACCCTGGGAAGGGAAGGACTCTCCAGCACATGCATCATCCCAGCTGGGAGGGTCAGCCCACTCTGTGTCAGGATCCCTCAGTGGGCAAGGATGGGATGTGCTGGGCTTGGATGGAACTGGGGCTCAAGTGCAGAGCTCCTGAAGTGGTGCAGGGAGAGGCTGGGATTCAGCCCTTCAGGCAGGGATCACAGCAGTCAACACAGCTGGGGTTTTATAGCCATGCCAGACAAAAGCTGGCAAAGAAGCACCACTTAATCAAGCCAGACAAATGCAATTGCTCCCTTTGATTGAGTTACCAAGTTAATAGATGACAGGGACACAAGAGAGAGATTTCTAGATGCTGTTAAACCATTTGACACTGCATCTCAGGAAGTCTGATTTTAAAAATTTCTCCTAATTGAGGCTCAGCCCTGTCACAGGGATGAAAAGCCCAAGAAAAAGCCATGTCAGGGGCAAAGAATG